ATCAGAGATCTGTAAGGTGAGAGTGACGCTGCTGGAGAGCGAGGGCACTCCCTCATCAGAGCAGGTCACAGTTATATTATATTGAGAAGCGATCTCCCTGTCTAAATCGCTGTCTGTCACGAGGTTAAAGAAATTATTTGATGTTGGCTTCAGTGTAACAGGAATATGATCATTTATTGCGCAGTTAACTTTGCCATTATCTCCGGAATCTAAGTCCTGAATATTTACCATAGTCACAACTGTTGCTGGTTTAGAGTCCTCTGGAATTACATTGGTCTGGGACATTATATTAATAACTGGCTTGTTATCATTAATATCTATCACGTCAACCGTAATCGTACACGAATCAGTCAGCCCTCCTTCGTCACTGGCTTGCACATGTATTTGATAGTAACGTGCCTTTTCATAATCTACGTTACTCTTCGAGATCAAATCCCCATTTAACTCATTTATTTCAAACATGTGTCGTACATCTGCAGCTGTGTTGGATATGGAATATGTAATCTTGGAATTTGATCCTTTATCAGCATCTGAAGCACTGACCCTGGTTATGACTGTACCTCTCGGGGAGTTCTCAAGTATTGTAGCTTTATAAGCCGTCTTTGTAAAGACCGGTGCATTGTCATTGGCATCAAGCACTGTCACATGTATCTGTGCTGTGCCAGATAGGTTTGGTTCCCCTCCGTCAACCGCAGTTAACACTAGAAATATCTCATCCTGTCTTTCTCTATCAAGTGATTTTTGTAAAACCATTTCAACTATCTTTTCTCCGTCTGGCTGATCTTTCAATTTCAGAACAAAATGATCTGTGTTTGTCAGAAAATAACTCTGTAGACTATTCATGCCAACATCGGGATCTATTGCCCTCTCTAGCAATAATTTAGCTCCTATTACAGCAGATTCACTAATTTTGAATTTCATTTCGGATTTTTCAAATATTGGGGTGTTGTCATTTATATCTGTGATTTCGACAGCAACGGCGTATAATTCCATAGGATTTTGTAAAATAACCTGAAAATGCAAAGCACAGGGCGTCGTCTGTCCACAGAGCGCCTCTCTGTCTATTTTCTCTTTGATAAGGAGGACTCCTCGCTCTCTGTCCAGCTCGATGTACTCTGCGCTGTCTCCTGTAAAAATACGAGCTTTGCCTGATGTCAGTCTTTTTCTGTCGAAACCTAAGTCTTGAGCAATGTTACCAATTACTGACCCTTTCGACATTTCCTCAGGAATGGAGTAGCTGACCTGTCCGAGCACCGATGTGAGATACATGATTGATATAAACAACAGCACTTGCAGCCCCATTGTTCTGTCCACCATTTCCATGCAACACGAGTCCCGTTACAATCCTATATCCGTTGGAAAGAAAATCCGATGTACTTCCTCGGTATATAAAACAATTTGAAGTAATCAATCGATTATAGTTAACTGCATCTGTCCGTGTCGATGATTGCTGCTCTCTTACTTTGTACTATTCCACTGTGTGTCTGTTTCCCTCTGATATAAGAAGAAAAAAGACGATGGGGAGGTACTGCTGAAACATGTCCTACATTTATCACATACTGGCCAATAGCGGCCCTAAGAGTTCAATCTAATGTACTACATACATCTGTGCAAATGGAAAGTATTTAGGCCTGTCAGCTGTAGACGAGGTATGACAATTAACATTCAACGCTGTGCTTTGAAATCAATGTTGAGAGATTAAATCAAACTGTAAATCGCTGAATCAAACAGCAGTATTTTAAGCCTCCATGAAGTTGGTGGAAATACTTATCAAATGCAGGCCTAGTGATGTTTCACGGAGGTAATTGGATTAAAAAAATAAAATATAGTAGATGAAATATAACAATATAGTTAAATATAAACTCAGCAGGAGTAAACAAATATGCTCTGATAAAAAATCTGAATTAAATAACAGCTCATCCAAAAACAAATACGAATAATATGCAGACACAACATACATCAGAGAGCGATACAAACAACTGCAATAATATCATTGATGATGAAGCACAAATTGTCAAAGCTAAAATATATTCAAATTTGATTTATACAGTGGGGCAAAAAAGTATTTAATCAGCCACCAATTGTGCAAGTTCTCCCACTTAAAAAGATGAGAGAGGCCTGTAATTTTCATCATAGGTATACCTCAACTATGAGAGACAAAATGAGAAAAAAAAAATCCATAAAATGACATTGTCTGATTTTTAAAGAATTTATTTGCAAATTATGGTGGAAAATAAGTATTTGGTCAATAACAAAAGTTCATCTCAATACTTTGTTATATACTATCTATGTAAGTTATCTTTAAATTTCAACATTGTTTTGTGATTTGTAAATTTTTATGTAAAATTCAGTGTAAAACAATCTTAATTTCTAACCTCTAGAGGAGAGTCTGGTTCATCCAAGATGCTTTTTTCACTCTGTAGCCGCTGCATCGTTCCTGTAGAACTGGGGTCCATTATCAGCACGTTCTGACTACCGGCTCTGCCGAATTTACAGTCACTCTTTCTGGAGTCAGTCGTCCTGCACACCTCGTAGTTGTACACGTGTTGGAGAGTCCCTGTCCCCAAAGTGTCTGAGTAACGTGGTGGATAATACGGAATCACAGGGAGATTGGGGTGACACAGGACGCGAGACTGTCTACATCTGTAGATTTTCACTGATATAATAACCACTAAACACGTGACGAAGAGGAAGGAAACTACAGCCAAAGCCAACACTAAGTAGAAAGTCA